TGTGGGGGGGGGGGGGTTGTCCCCGGTGTGGGGGGGTTGGGGGGGGGGGGGTTGTCCCCGGTGTGGGGGGGGTGCTGACCTCCTCCCTGCACGGTGTATAGGCTGCACATGGCTCCCACCAGCCCCAGGACTGGGATCTCCTCGGCTGACCACGGCGTGACCTTCCCTGGTGGCTGGGATTAGATGCCGCTAGTCTCCTTACATAAGGCGGAGGAACACGTGTGGCGGCCGGATCTGTACACCTCCTGCTATAGACGACTTATCTACAATCTGCCTCCTGAGGGGTCTCCCGGGGTGGCCATGAAATGGTTAGTGGTGGGAGGAGTGCGGACTCGGGTCCGGGGTGGCCATGAAAGGGTTAGTGGTGGGAGGAGTTGCGGACTCGGTCCGGGGTGGCCATGAAAGGTTTAGTACTGGTGGGAGGAGTTGCGGCGGGTCGTCTGGTAGATGTCTCCAGTGGCAGTTCGGGAAGCCGTGTCATGGAAACTGTCCCTCCTGGATTACGGAAACTTCTCCTTCTCCCCTCCCCCTCCGCCTGCAGCATTGTGTGGGGGGGTGGGAGCCGGCTCCACATTAACTCCTTCCATGTTGGCAGTCACATGGGGGCGGAGTCCCTGACCCCCCCCCCCATTCCCAGTGTATAGTATGGGGGCCGGCCTGTCTGTGATGGACTGGTGGGGGGCTCAGCCTCTCCTCCTCCCCCTCGCCTCTCCTCCTCCCCCTCGCCTCTCCTCCTCCCCCTCCGCCTCTCCTCCTCCCCCTCGCCTCTCCTCCTCCCCCTCGCCTCTCCTCCTCCCCCTCGCCTCTCCTCCTCCCCCCCTCGCCTCTCCTCCTCCCCCTCGCCTCTCCGCCTCTCCTCGCCTCCCCCTCCCCCTCTCCCCCTCTCCCTCTCTCCTCTGTTGCGGCCTCCTCCTCTCCTCCTCCCCTCTCTCTCCCTGTTGCGGCCCTCCCCTCTCCTCCTCCCTCTCCCTCTCCTCTGTTGCGGCCTCCTCCTCCTCTCCTCCTGCGGCCTCTCCCTCTCCCTCTCCTCTGTTGCGGCCTCCTCCCTCCTCCCTCCTCCCCTCCTCTCCCCTCTCCCTCTCCCCTGTTGCGGCCTCCTCCTCTCCTCCTCCCCTCTCCTCCCTCTCCCTCTCCCCTGTTGCGGCCTCTCCTCCTCTCCCCTCCCTCTCTCCCTCTCCCTGTTCTCCCCTGTTGCGGCCTCTCCCTCTCCTCCTCCCCTCTCCCTCTCCTCTCCCCTGTTGCGGCCTCTCCCTCTCCTCCCCCCCTCCCCTGTTGCCCTCTCCCTCCTCCTGCCCTCTCCCTCCCCTGTTGCCTCCTCTCCCCTCCTCCCCTCTCCCCCTGTTGCGGCCTCTCCCTCCCCTCTCCCTCTCCCCCTCTCCCCTCTCCCTCTCCTCTCCCCTGTTGACCTCCTCCTCTCCCTCCTCTCCTCCACCCTCTCCCTCCCCTGTTGCGGCCTCTCCCTCTCCTCCTCCCTCCCCTCTCCCTGTTGCTGTCCTCCTCCCCCTCCCCCCCTCTCCCCTCCCCTCTCCCTCCCCCTGTTGCGGCTCTCCCTCTCCTCCTCCCCTCTCCCTCTCCCCTGTTGCGGCCTCCCCTCCCCTCCCCCCCCCCTGTTGCGGCCTCTCCCTCCCCTGTTGCGGCCTCTCCCCTCCTCCTCGCCTCTCCCTCTCCCCTGTTGCGGCCTCTCCCTCCCCTCCTGCCTCTCCTCCTCCCCTCGGCCTCCCCTGTCCCCTCTCCCCTGTTCCTCTCCCTCCTCCTCCCCTCTCCCCCCCCTGTTGCGGCCTCTCCCCTCCCTCCTCTCTCCCCTCTTGCCTCTCCCTCTCCCTGTTGCCCTCTCCCTCTCCCCTGTTGCCTCCTCCCCTCCCCTGTTGCGGCCTCTCCCTCTCCTCCCCTCTCCCTCTCCCCTGTTGCGGCCTCCTCCCCTCCCCTGTTGCGGCCTCTCCCCTCCCCTCCCCTGTTGCGGCTCTCCCTCTCCCCTGCCCTCTCCCCTCCCCTGTTGCGGCCTCTCCCCTCCCCTCTCCCCTGTTGCGGCCTCTCCCTCTCCCCTGTTGCGGCCTCTCTCCTCCCCCTGTTGCCCCTCCCCCTCTCCCCTGTTGCGGCCTCTCCCCTCTCCTCTCCCTCCCCTCGGCCTCTCCCTCCCCTGTTGCGGCCTCTCCCTCTCCTCCTCCCCTCTCCCTCTCCCCTGTTGCGGCCTCTCCCTCTCCCCTGTTGCCCTCTCCCTCTCCCCTCCCTCTCCCTCTCCCCTGTTGCGGCCTCTCCCTCTCCCCTCCGCCTCTCCCTCTCCCCTGTTGCGGCCTCTCCCTCTCCTCCTCCCCTCTCCCTCTCCCTGTTGCGGCCTCTCCCTCTCCCCTCTCCCTCTCCCCTGTTGCGGCCTCTCCTCCTCCCCTCTCCCTCTGCCCCTGTTGCGGCCTCTCCTTCTCCTCCTCTCCCCTCTCCCTCTCCCCTGTTGCGGCCTCTCTCCCCTCTCCTCCTCCCTCTCCCTCTCCCCTGTTTGTGGCCTCTCCCCTCTCCCCTCCCCTCCCCTGTCCCCTGTTGCGGCCTCCCCCTCTCCCTCTCCTCCTCCCCTCTCCCTCTCCTCTCCCCTGTTGCGGCCTCTCCCTCCCTCTCCCCTCCCCTCCCTCTCCCCTGTTGCGGCCTCTCCCCTCTCCCTCTCCCCTGTTGCGGCTCTCCCCTCTCCCTCTCCCCTGTTGCGGCCTCTCCCTCTCCTCCTCCCCTCTCCCCTGTTGCGGCCTCTCCCCTGTTGCGGCCTCTCCCCTCTCTCCCCTCTCCTCCTCCCCTCTCCTCCTCCCCTCTCCCTGTCCCCTGTTGCGGCCTCTCCCTCTCCTCCTCCCCCTCCCTCTCCTCTGTTGCGGCCCTCTCCCCTGTTGCGGCCTCTCCCTCTCCTCCTCCTCCCCCTCTCCTCCTCCCCTCTCCCTCTCCCCTGTTGCAGCCTCTCCCTCTCCTCCTCCCCTCTCCTCTGTCCCCTGTTGCGGCCTCTCCCTCTCCTCCTCCCCTCCCCTCCCCCTCTCCTCTCCCCTCCTCTCCCCTGTTGCGGCGCCTCCTCTCCCCCTCCGCAGTGTATAGATGGATCTGGGAGAAGAGCTGACACTCTGACTGGCTACATCCGCTAACAGACAGGAAATCTGATGTGTGATCTGCGGGGGAGGGGGGGAGGGGTCAGAACAGGAAATGGCAGTTGTGGTGCTCAGTGTCCTATTTGATATAGGACCTCTGTTGGGTGGGGGGGGGGGGGGACCTGGCTGTGTACTGGGCAGCGTCCTTCACCCATCGGGGGGGGGGGGGGACCCCAATATTACATTGCTGACCTGTCCTATTGGCTGGCAACACCTAGATTTTGACTCCACCCAAAACTACCACTTGTAGGCGGAGTCACCCAGTGCAGCTAAGGCTCCCCCCATATCACTTCCTGTCCCCCCCCCCCCCCCCCATATCACTGCACCTGCTGCCTGTCCCCCCCCCCCCCCCCCCCCCCATATCACTGCACCTGCTGCCTGTGTCCCCCCCCCCCCCCCGCCCCCCCCCCATATCACTGCACCTGCTGCCTGTCCCCCCCCCCCCCCCCCCTCCATGTATCTGGTCTGTTTCATCTATGGTAATTGTTCCTGAACATGTGACCTGAGGGGCCCCCCCCGCGGTGCCCGTTATGAGATGGTAAGCCATGGAGAGGCGGCACATTCCTGGGGGGGGGGGGGCTCCTCCCTGCTATAGGAACAGCAGTGTATCTGGCAGCGGGCCCCGTCCTGGACAGTGTGGCTCCTGGCTCTGTCCTCGGCCGGCTGTCCGCATTCCTCCCGCCCACTTGTCACCTTGTTACTGCGCGCTGTGATCCGGGGTGACACATTCCTCAGGGGCCCCTCGGGGCTCCGCTGTGGGGGGGGGTCATGTATACTGCATATTGTATTAATGCCGGGGCCCCCAACACCTGAGGGGCCCCCCAAATACTCCCTTATTAAGACTTAAAGCAGAACTCTGGGCTGGCCCGGGTGGGGCGGCTCCTCCCTCCTCTGGGCTGGCCCGGGTGGGGCGGCTCCTCCCTCCTCTGGGCTGGCCCGGGTGGGGCGGCTCCTCCCTCCTCTGGGCTGGCCCGGGTGGGGCGGCTCCTCCCTCCTCTGGGCTGGCCCGGGTGGGGCGGCTCCTCCCTCCTCTGGGCTGGCCCGGGTGGGGCGGCTCCTCCCTCCTCTGGGCTGGCCCGGGTGGGGCGGCTCCTCCCTCCTCTGGGCTGGCCCGGGTGGGGCGGCTCCTCCCTCCTCTGGGCTGGCCCGGGTGGGGCGGCTCCTCCCTCCTCCTCTGATGTCACCGCACACTGGGAGTTTCTCACAATGTGCATTAGAAGCTGCAGATAGAGCTCCGCCTCATTTCCTGGCAGGAGGACTTCCAGCATCATCTAGCCCTTTCCTCCCCGGCCTGACCGTCCCTGGCCCCGCCCCTTTCATTGGAGCCCACCTCATTACCTGGCTGGAAGGCGTCCAGCATCATCTAGCCCTTTCCTCCACGGCCTGACCGTCCCTGGCCCCGCCCCTTTCATTGGAGCCCACCTCATTACCTGGCTGGAAGGCGTCCAGCATCATCTAGCCCTTTCCTCCATGGCCCGCCTCGGTCAGTCCTTTCCATCCTGTGGTCTCGGCATCACATGTGGGCGTTGCCTGATGCAGCCTGCCTACCCCTCCTAAACCAACACCCTTCTGGTTTGATATTTGCATAACTCCTCCCACCAGCCAGCCCACTGCTTGTATCAGCATGGAGGGCTTTTGAGGAGTATTGAGCAGCAACCTGCCAGCAGCCATGATCTGCTTGCATTGCATAGAGATGTACAGAGACCCAGTGATGACATCACTGCGTCTAAAATTACGTTTGTTGAATTGATTGGGGGGGGGGGGAGGCAAAATAGAAGCAGATTGGACGTCATCAGTAAACAAGGAGGGACTTGAGGTTGGGCTTCTGATGGGTCCAGGAGGGGGAGGGGGGTGCTGACTGAAGTGCTAACATGCTGTCTGTCTCTCACAGGCCGGACGTGACAAGTATGAACCCGCAGCCACATCCGAACATGGCAACAAGAAGAAGGGGAAGGGCAAGGAGAAGGACATGGATGAGCTGAAGAAGGAGGTCTCCTTGGTGGGTGCAAGTTCCACGTCCTCCATGCTGGGGGCCCCTGCACCTGGTATCATTGGATTGAGGGGCCCCCTGCACCTGGTATCATTGGATTGAGGGGCCCCCTGCACCTGGTATCATTGGATTGAGGGGCCCCCTGCACCTGGTATCATTGGATTGAGGGGCCCCCTGCACCTGGTATCATTGGATTGAGGGGCCCCCTGCACCTGGTATCATTGGATTGAGGGGCCCCTGCACCTGGTATCATTGGATTGAGGGGCCCCTGCACCTGGTATCATTGGAGGATTGAGGGGGCCCCCCTGCACCTGGTATCACTGTAGGATTGAGGGGTCCCCCCGGGCCCTGATTGTAGGATTGAGGGGCCCCCCTGCACCTGGTATCACTGTAGGATTGAGGGGACCCCCCTGCACCTGGTATCACTGTAGGATTGAGGGGTCCCCCCGGCCCTGATTGTAGGATTGAGGGGTCCCCCCGGGCCCTGATTGTAGGATTGAGGGGTCCCCCCGGGCCCTGATTGTAGGATTGAGGGTCCCCCCCCGGGCCCTGATTGTAGGATTGAGGGTCCCCCCCCCCCCGGGCCCTGATTGTAGGATTGAGGGTCCCCCCCCCCCCGGGCCCTGATTGTAGGATTGAGGGTCCCCCCCCCCCCCGGGCACTGATTGTAGGATTGAGGGGTTCTTCCTCCCCCCCCCCCCCCCCCCGGGCACTGATAGCCCAGATGTAGCAGCTCCTCTCCTCAAGCCTACAGCATTGGTGTAAGCTGGGGGGAGAGATCCTCAGCTTGGTGGGTCCCCTGGGGGGGGGGGGGGGTCACTGTAGGCTTGAGGGGTCCCTCCGGGCACTGATTGCTGTAGGGGAGAGATCCTCAGCTTGGGGGGGGGGGGGGGGGGTGACACAGGAGGCTTGAGGGGTCCCCCGGGGGGCTTCACTGGAGGCTTCCCCCTAGTAGATGGATTCCACCTTGGCCAGTAGAGCAGATCCATACGGCACCCCCAGATGCAGTGCTGCTCCTTGGAATAGGTTGGCTGCATTGTGTGATTGGGGGGGGGGGGGGGGGGGCTGGGTGGCTCTCATATTGGGGGGGGGGGGGGGGTTGGGGCTTTGACACTTCCAGGGGTGGGGGTGTCGGGGTTGGAGCACCTACACCGTTCCATTATGTAATGAGTGTCGCTTACCTTGAGAACAAAGGGTGGTAAAACAAGCAGCACCTCGTTCCCTTCTCCCGGCATATGGGCCCTTCCTTGGCATTGGGCCCCTGGTTCTTTGGGGTCTTGGGTCCCCCTCCTGTCCCTATGACCGGAGATGTCTCCCAGGCACTGAGTTTCTTCTCTTCTCCTACAGGAAGACCACAAGCTGACTCTGGATGAATTGCACCGCAAGTACGGCACAGACCTGACCCGGGTACGTCCGCCCACCGCCCCGCCCACATATTGCAGGCTCCTCCCCAGACCGGCTTGTCACTCAGGTTTCTATTTCTTGTAGGGACTCACCACTGCCCGGGCAGCTGAGATCCTGGCCAGAGATGGTCCCAACGCCCTCACCCCTCCCCCTACCACTCCGGAATGGGTGAAGTTCTGCCGTCAGCTCTTTGGAGGCTTCTCCATGCTGCTGTGGATCGGAGCCATCCTCTGTTTCCTGGCGTACGGTATCCAGGCAGCCACGGAAGAGGAACCACAGAACGATAATGTACGTTCCCAGAATGCTGCGCTGCTCACGGTGGGATTCATAGGTGACCTGAGGGGGTAACGTTCTGTTTTATGTCGCAGCTCTACCTCGGTGTGGTCTTGTCAGCCGTCGTCATCATCACCGGATGCTTTTCCTACTACCAAGAAGCAAAGAGCTCCAGGATCATGGAGTCCTTCAAGAACATGGTGCCCCAGGTAGGTGCCGACTGATCTAGCGGGGTGCAGAACCCAGTATGAGCATGGCGGTGACTGGTGGGGCCTTGGATCGTGAGGTCGTTGGGGGTGACTGGTGGGGCCTTGGATCGTGAGGTCGTTGGGGGTGACTGGTGGTGGGGCCTTGGATCGTGAGGTCGTTGGGGGTGACTGGTGGGGCCTTGGATCGTGAGGTCGTTGGGGGTGACTGGTGGGGCCTTGGATCGTGAGGTCGTTGGGGGGTGACTGGTGGGGCCTTGGATCGTGAGGTCGTTGGGGGTGACTGGTGGGGCCTTGGATCGTGAGGTCGTTGGGGGTGACTGGTGGGGCCTTGGATCGTGGGGTCGGTTGGCGGTGACTGGTGGGGTCGTTGGCGGTGACTGGTGGGGCCTTGGATCGTGGAGTCGGTTGGCGGTGACTGGTGGGGCCTTGGATCGTGGGGTCGGTTGGCGGTGACTGGTGGGGTCGGTTGGCGGTGACTGGTGGGGGGTCGTGGGGTTGGCGGTGACTGTGGGGCCTTGGATCGTGGGGTCGGTTGGCGGTGACTGGTGGGGCCTTGGATCGTGGGGTCGGTTGGCGGTGACTGGTGGGGCCTTGGATCGTGGGGTTGGGGGTGACTGGTGGGGCCTTGGATCGTGGGGTCGGTTGGCGGTGACTGGTGGGGCCTTGGATCGTGGGGTCGGTTGGCGGTGACTGGTGGGGTCGGGGTTGGCGGTGACTGGTGGGGCCTTGGATCGTGGGGTCGGTTGGCGGTGACTGGTGGGGTCGGTTGGCGGTGACTGGTGGGGCCTTGGATCGTGGGGTCGGTTGGCGGTGACTGGTGGGGCCTTGGATCGTGGGGTCGGTTGGCGGTGACTGGTGGGGCCTTGGATCGTGGGGTCGGTTGGCGGTGACTGGTGGGGTCGGTTGGCGGTGACGGGTGGGGTCGTTGGGGCTTTTGGGTTGTCATGGTCACGTCTGGTTTCCCTCCATCACAGCAAGCCTTGGTGATCCGGAGTGGTGAGAAGTTGAGTATTAATGCCGAGGACGTGGTTCTGGGAGATCTGGTGGAGGTGAAAGGTGGAGACCGGATCCCGGCAGATCTCAGGGTCATCTCTGCTCACGGTTGTAAGGTCAGAAATGGGCGAGTCTCATGTTCATGTGCCCCTCCCCCCTCCCCGTCCACCCCTTTATTTTTCCTGATTCATCAACCATCTGCACTCACTGTAGGTGGACAACTCTTCCCTCACCGGAGAGTCCGAACCCCAGACCCGATCTCCCGACTTCACCAATGAAAACCCTCTTGAGACCCGTAACATCGCCTTCTTCTCCACCAACTGTGTGGAAGGTCAGTAGAAGCTGCTGGACGCGGCTTGACAGTTTGTGGAGTGCAATGCTGGCCCAGCCTCACCTTCCTCTCCCCCATCCAGGCACTGCCCGTGGTATCGTTATCAACACCGGCGACCGCACTGTCATGGGACGTATCGCCACCCTGGCCTCCGGTCTGGAAGGTGGCCGCACCCCTATCGCCATTGAGATCGAGCATTTCATTCATATCATCACCGGGGTGGCCGTCTTCCTGGGCGTCTCCTTCTTCATCCTGTCCCTCATCCTGCAGTACACCTGGCGTGGAGGCCGTCATCTTCCTCATCGGCATCATCGTCGCCAACGTGCCTGAAGGGCTGCTGGCCACCGTCACGGTGAGTAGGCTGATTCTGGAACCCTGACTGACTGTGTGCCCCTCCCTCTCGGATTCTGGAACCCTGACCGTATGACCCTCCCTCTCGGATTCTGGAACCCTGACCGTATGACCTTGGTGCCCCTCCCTCTCGGATTCTGGAACCCTGACCGTATGACCCTCCCTCTCGGATTCTGGAACCCTGACCGTATGACCCTTGGTGTGTCCCTCCCTCGGATTCTGGAACCCTGACCGACCGTATGACCCTTGGTGCCCCCTCCCCTCTCGGATTCTGGAACCCTGACCGTATGACCCTTGGTGCCCCTCCTCTGATTCTGGAACCCTGACTGACCGTATGACCCTTGGTGCCCCTCCCACTGATTCTGGAACCCTGACTGACCGTATGACCCTTGGTGCCCCTCCCCTCGGATTCTGGAACCCTGACTAACCGTATGACCCTTGGTGCCCCTCCCTCTCGGATTCTGGAACCCTGACTGACCGTATGACCCTTGGTGCCCCTCCCTCTCGGATTCTGGAACCCTGACTGACCGTATGACCCTTGGTGCCCCTCCCTCTCGGATACAGGAACCCTGACTGACCGTATGACCCTTGGTGCCCCTCCCTCTCGGATTCTGGAACCCTGACCGTAAGTGCCCCTCCCACTGATTCTGAACCCCCTGACCGTATGACCCCCTCCCTCTCGGATTCTGGAACCCTGACTGACCGTATGACCCTCCCTCTCGGATTCTGGAACCCTGACTGACCGTATGACCCCTCCCTCTCGGATTCTGGAACCCTGACTGACCGTATGACCCTTGGTGCCCCTCCCTCTCGGATACAGGAACCCTGACTGACCGTATGACCCCTCCCTCTCGGATTCAGGAACCCTGACTGACCGTATGACCCTTGGTGCCCCTCCCTCTCGGATTCTGGAACCCTGACTGACCGTATGACCCTTGGTGCCCCTCCCTCTCGGATTCTGGAACCCCTGACCTGACCGTATGACCCTTGGTGCCCCTCCCTCTCGGATTCTGGAACCCTGACTGATGGTATGCCCCTCCCTCTCGGATTCTGGAACCCTGACTGACCGTATGACCCTTGGTGCCCCTCCCTCTCGGATTCTGGAACCCTGACTGACCGTATGACCCTTTGGTGCCCCTCCCTCTCGGATTCTGGAACCCTGACTGATGGTATGCCCCTCCCTCTCGGATTCTGGAACCCTGACTGACCGTATGACCCTTGGTGCCCCTCCCTCTCGGATTCTGGAACCCTGACTGACCGTATGACCCTTAGTGCCCCTCCCACTCGGATTCTGGAACCCTGACTGACCGTATGACCCTTGGTGCCCCTCCCTCGGATTCTGGAACCCTGACTGACCGTATGACCCTCCCTCTCGGATTCTGGAACCCTGACTGACCGTATGACCCTCCCTCTCGGATTCTGGAACCCTGACTGACCGTATGACCCCCCTCTCGGATTCTGGAACCCTGACTGACCGTATGACCCTCCCTCTCGGATACAGGAACCCTGACTGACCGTATGACCCTCCCTCTCGGATACAGGAACCCTGACTGACCGTATGACCCTTGGTGCCCCTCCCTCTCGGATACAGGAACCCTGACTGACCGTATGACCCTCCCTCTCTCGGATTCTGGAACCCTGACTGACCGTATGACCCTTGGTGCCCCTCCCTCTCGGATTCTGGAACCCTGACTGATGGTATGCCCCTCCCTCTCGGATTCTGGACCCTGACTGATGGTATGCCCCTCCCTCTCGGATTCTGGAACCCTGACTGACCGTATGACCCTTGGTGCCCCTCCCTCTCGGATTCAGGAACCCTGACTGACTGTATGACCCTTGGTGCCCCTCCCTCTCCTAGGTGTGCCTTACACTCACTGCTAAGCGCATGGCCCGCAAGAACTGCCTGGTGAAGAACTTGGAAGCCGTGGAAACTCTGGGATCTACCTCCACCATCTGCTCCGACAAGACCGGAACCCTCACCCAGAACCGGATGACTGTGGCCCACATGTGGTTCGATAATCAGATTCACGAAGCTGACACCACAGAGAATCAGAGCGGTGAGTTTTTACTGCCCTCACCCAAGGGCTCCCTACAGAGAACCAGTCTAGCTGTAGGTGGCACCGTCCCGTCTTGGCATTCATCTTGAATTCATTTTGCTGCAGGTGCCTCCTTCGACAAAAGCTCTCCAACCTGGACCGCACTGGCACGTGTCGCTGGGCTGTGTAACAGAGCTGTGTTCCAGGCTGGTCAGGAGAACACTCCTATCCTGAAGGTGAGGAACTGGGACCGGGGAAGTCAGGGCTTGATTCTGATTGGATTACGGGTGCTTCAGCTCCACCATCTCAGGAGCAAGCTCTTAGATGCTGAACTCAGAACTACGTTGGGGGTGGAGAGAGGGCACGTGAGGGGGTTTGAATCAGAAAAAGCTCACCCCTGTGGTGGTGTACAGCCGTGACAAGGCCTCACTGAGCTCTCCATGGAGGACTATGTGCTGAAGAGGTTTATATGGTGAAGGAGCTCTCTGTGGAGGACCCTCTGTGCTGGAGGAGCTCTCTCTGTGGAGGACCCTCTGTGCTGGAGGAGCTCTCTGTGGAGGACCCTCTGTGCTTGGAGGAGCTCTCTGTGGAGGACCCTCTGTGCTTGGAGGAGCTCTCTGTGGAGGACCCTCTGTGCTTGGAGGAGCTCTCTGTGGAGGACCCTCTGTGCTTGGAGGAGCTCTCTGTGGAGGACCCTCTGTGCTTGGAGGAGCTCTCTGTGGAGGACCCTCTGTGCTTGGAGGAGCTCTCTGTGGAGGACCCTCTGTGCTTGGAGGAGCTCTCTGTGGAGGACCCTCTGTGCCTCTCTGTGGAGGACCCTCTGTGCTTGGAGGAGCTCTCTGTGGAGGACCCTCTGTGCTTGGAGGAGCTCTCTGTGGAGGACCCTCTGTGCTTGGAGGAGCTCTCTGTGGAGGACCCTCTGTGCTTGGAGGAGCTCTCTGTGGAGGACCCTCTGTGCTTGGAGGAGCTCTCTGTGGAGGACCCTCTGTGCTTGGAGGAGCTCTCTGTGGAGGACCCTCTCTGTGCTTGGAGGAGCTCTCTGTGGAGGACCCTCTGTGCTTGGAGGAGCTCTCTGTGGAGGACCCTCTGTGCTTGGAGGAGCTCTCTGTGGAGGACCCTCTGTGCTTGGAGGAGCTCTCTGTGGAGGACCCTCTGTGCTTGGAGGAGCTCTCTGTGGAGGACCCTCTGTGCTTGGAGGAGCTCTCTGTGGAGGACCCTCTGTGCTTGGAGGAGCTCTCTGTGGAGGACCCTCTGTGCTTGGAGGAGCTCTCTGTGGAGGACCCTCTGTGCTTGGAGGAGCTCTCTGTGGAGGACCCTCTGTGCTTGGAGGAGCTCTCTGTGGAGGACCCTCTGTGCTTGGAGGAGCTCTCTGTGGAGGACCCCCTGTGCTTGGAGGAGCTCTCTCTCGGCGGGGGACCCCTCTCTGTGGGGGGGGGGGGGAGCTCTCTCTACCCGCGGAGGACCCTCCCTGTGCTTGGAGGAGCTCTCTCTACACGCGGAGGACCCTCCCTGTGCCGGGGGGAGCTCTCTCTACGGAGGATCGTCCCTGTGCTGACCTGCCGCTGACCATATACCCTTTTTGTCTTGCAGAGAGATGTGGCCGGTGACGCCTCGGAGTCGGCCCTCCTGAAGTGTATTGAGCTGTGCTGCGGCTCGGTGAAGGACATGAGAAACAAGAACACCAAAGTGGCTGAAATCCCCTTCAACTCCACCAACAAGTACCAGGTGAGAGCCGTGCGGCCCGGGGGAAGCTTGGCCTGTGTGGCCCATGAGCCGGAGACTAAGCCACACGCTGCTGCCGTGAGGCCGCCATGTGCTGCAAGAGAGGAGGGAGGGGGCCACGAGGTGTCTGACTGCGTCTGTCAAGGCGGCTTAAAATAAACCTGTTATCTTGACTGGAGAGCCGGATCTGTCGGGGCGGCACGCGACCGGGCTCCAGTGTCGGGGCGGCACGCGGGCTCCAGTGTCGGGGCGGCACGCGGGCTCCTCATTGGGGGCTCCAGTGTCGGGGCGGCACGCGGGCTCTTCTCCATTCTCTGCTCGGTGCAGTGCTAATCCCGGGCTGGTGCGGGGCTGATGGGCCACCATCGGTTCTGGTCCCCGGCCTGGTGGATTAGGCATGGCGCTGCTCCTTGATGTGATGAAGTTGGGTGACCCCGGTGGTCTGTTGGCAGGATGTGGTGGGCTGGCGGTTTGGAGAAGCTTTGCACGTCTCTGTGGGGGGCGGTATAATCTCGTTAGTCAGCTTTCCCTTCACTTTCCACACTAAGCTCCTCGCTGGGTTTAGCCCTCTGATCTCGGACATTCCTCAAGGCTTATCCTGGCCGGTAAGAGCCGGTGATCTGTGACTGTACAGGGTGTGGTGCCGGCATGTCCCACCATGGGAGGTCCTAGATCAGTGGTCTCCAAACCGAGGCCCTGGGGCCGGATGTGCTCCTTTCTGTGCCGTTATCCGGCCATTGGGGCACTGCGTCTCCTCACCCCCCCCCCCCCCTCGGACCGCAGTGGGGGCACCGTGTCTCCCGCAAATGATGCCAGGAAAATTTTCTTCGGTCACTGTCAAGTCCGGCCCTAGATCCTCCATCATGACCTGCTCCTCCGTCCTTGGGGCGCCTGGGGGGGGGGGGGCCTGGCTCCTCCGTCCTTGGAGTGCCAGCCCTATGGTCAGGTCTCCAAGCACCCACCTACCTGGGGTTCTGCATGGTGCTCTGGGAATGCAGTGCTCAGGACCACATGCAGAGAGCCACCTCCTCCTCCTGTCCCTTGATGCTGAGGAGGGTTGGTGGTTCTGTAGGTACAAGTGATGAGCGGTGTCTTACAGGCACCCCCTCGCACCGAGACATGACCCCACACTGGGGGCAGCTGCTGCTGACCCAATGGGGCTTGGTCTGGGAGTACTACCTGTACCCCCGATGGGCAGCCCTGGGTATGTCCACAGATTGTGCTGCACTTGTCCAGTAATGCTGCCTCCAGATGAGAACACATCCCCCCCCCCCCCCCCCCCCCCCCCCCCCGTACCTGGGGTCTTCCTGGCACCTTCAGAGATTTGCCACTAACTCCGCCTCTTGTCTCTCCTCAGCTGTCCATACACAACAATGCCATTCCTGACGAGTCCCGTTACTTGCTGGTTATGAAGGGGGCCCCCGAGAGGATCCTGGACCGATGCTCCACCATCTTGCTGCAGGGCAAAGAGCAGCCTCTGGATGAGGAAATGAGAGACTCCTTCCAAAACGCGTATCTGGAGCTGGGTGGCCTTGGAGAGCGAGTGCTCGGTGAGGGACTCTCCGGAGGATGGGGGGGGTGGTAATGCTGGAGCGATCGTCTGACTGTCCATCTTCCTCTCGCAGGCTTCTGTCACTTGGCTTTGTCTGATGACCAGTTCCCTGAGGGCTTCCAGTTCGATACGGACGACGTGAACTTCCCCACCGAGAACCTGTGCTTTGTCGGTCTGATCTCCATGATTGATCCCCCTCGTGCTGCCGTGCCTGACGCCGTGGCAAATGCCGAAGTGCCGGCATCAAGGTGAGGAGCCGAGTCTTGGGGTCTAACCAGTCCTCTTCACAAGTGGTGGTGCTGCAGTCATTTCATTGCAACTTTGAGGTCCCTGAGTGTGGAACACAGAAGTGAGGTCTGCAGGTTCCATCAATGTCCAGAACATCGCTGATATTGGCCAACGGCCCACAAACGTCTGTCACTTCCCTTCTGCAGGTTATCATGGTCACTGGAGACCATCCAATCACAGCAAAGGCCATTGCCAAGGGTGTGGGGATCATCTCTGAGGGTAACGAGACTGTGGAGGACATTGCTGCCAGGCTCAACATTCCAGTCAACCAGGTGAACCCCAGGTAAGGTGTTATGGGGGGAGCCCTGGGTAAGGTGCTGTGGGTGGCCCCCTGGTATGGTGCTGTTGTGGGACACTGGGTATGGTGGTGTCATTGGGAATTCTAGCAGTTGTTTGGTACACGTCCTGTTGTGGTGACCCGTTCCACACCCCCACCCTACACCAAGTGGGTGTTCTGGTCTGTGTTGGGCTGTCTTCTGATTTCCTGAAGTTCTTCATTTGGCTTTCCCTCTCCCCCGCAGAGATGCCAAGGCCTGTGTGATCCACGGCACTGATCTGAAGGACATGTCTCCCGAGCAGATCGATGACATTCTGCGGCACCACACTGAGATCGTCTTCGCACGAACCTCCCCGCAGCAGAAGCTGATCATCGTGGAAGGATGCCAGAGACAGGTGAGTCCGTGTTCCTGTCCTCGCCAGGCGATGTGTAGGACTCTGTTGGGTGGCACTCGTCGTCGTCCTCCTGACCGCTCTCCTTTTTGCAGGGTGCCATTGTGGCCGTGACCGGTGATGGTGTCAATGACTCCCCCGCCTTGAAGAAAGCCGACATTGGTATAGCTATGGGCATCGCGGGTCTGATGTGTCCAAGCAAGCAGCTGACATGATTCTGCTGGATGACAACTTTGCCTCCATTGTGACCGGAGTGGAAGAAGGTAAGTGTCCATTCTGTGGTGCGGTCACATAGATCGTTCTCTGCTCGGACTTTGCATGATGACGTCTCTCTCTTCCAGGACGTCTGATCTTTGATAACCTGAAGAAATCCATTGCCTACACCCTGACCAGTAACATCCCGGAGATCACACCCTTCCTCATCTTCATCATCGCCAACATCCCTCTGCCCCTGGGTACCGTCACCATCCTGTGTATTGATCTGGGTACAGACATGGTGAGTGTTGTGGGGGTCCCGGAGGGGGTCGAGGGCCTTTATCTCCTGCCTGGTCCTCTCCCTCTAACTCCCTGGAGGGGGCGATGGCTGATACTGTGGATATCTCCTCATTGGTCCTCTGTCACTTAGGTCCCCGCCATCTCCTTGGCCTATGAACAAGCAGAAAGTGACATCATGAAGAGACAACCCAGGAACCCCAAAACAGACAAGCTGGTGAACGAGCGGCTCATCAGTATGGCGTATGGACAGATCGGTGAGTGTGTGGGGTCGGTATGGTATGGGGGGGGGGGGGGGGGGGAGTTTGCAGTGAGGATATAGGAATATGGGGGGCTTACAAAGAGGACTTGGGGTGTTCTTTGAAGAACTTGCTATAAGCTGATGGGGGGGGGGGGGGGGGGGGGGTGTGTAGGACATTGACTTGGTGATGAGAAAGGGTGGGTAATGGACTCTTCTGTATCCTATAGCATTGTCTGTCCAAAGAAGCCTTCAAATTGGACATGTGGTCTTGTAGACCCTTGAGGCTGTTGGGGGACCTTCTTGTAGGCCCTCCAGGCTGTGGGACATGGGGGGGGGGGGGGCGTCTTGTAGGCCCTCCTGGTCGGAGGTTCTTGCTGGAAGGAGCATACATTGAGCTTTCTCTCCAGTCATTGCAGTGTACTGACCACCCGCTCACCTGTCCTTTAGGTATGATCCAAGCCTTGGGTGGGTTCTTCACCTACTTTGTCATCTTGGCGGAGAATGGCTTCCTGCCCTCAACTCTGCTGGGCATCCGTGTGTCCTGGGACGACCGATGGACCAACGATGTAGAAGACAGCTATGGACAGCAGTGGGTGAGTGTTTTGGTGCTGCAGATGGAGCCACATGTGTGTAGGGGGGGATGGGCGCTGTACCTTGGTGTGGTCACTTACCTGTGTCTTCGTTCCCGCAGACCTACGAGCAGAGGAAGATTGTGGAGTTCACCTGTCACACGTCCTTCTTTGTCAGCATTGTGGTCGTCCAATGGGCTGATCTGATCATCTGTAAGACCAGAAGGAACTCTGTCTTCCAGCAGGGCATGAAGTGAGTAGAGGAGATTGGTTGGGGGCGGGGCCTGGTCTGGTCGTGGGATGAGGTTGGTGGGCTGGGCCTGGTCATGGGTGGGGCCTGGTCTGGTCGTGGGTTGGGGGCGGGGCCTGGCCGTGGGTTGGGGGCGGGGCCTGGCCGTGGGTTGGGGGCGGGGCCTGGCCGTGGGTTGGGGGCGGGCTGGCCGTTGGGTTGGGGGGGCGGGGCCTGGCCTGGGTTGGGGGGGGGCCTGGCCTGGTGGTCTGGTTGTGGGGTGGGGCCTGGTCTGGTTGTGGGGTGGGGCCTGGTCTGGTTGTGGGGTTGTGGGGTTGGGGGCGGGGCCTGGTCATGGACCGGGGTTGGTGGGCGGGGCCTGGTCATGGACCGGTGTCATCTGTTTGCTCTCCTCTCCACAGGAACAAGATCCTGATCTTTGGCCTCTTCGAGGAGACCGCACTGGCCGCCTTCCTGTCCTATTGTCCCGGTATGGATGTGGCACTCCGCATGTACCCACTGAAGTAAGTTGTTTTCCTGTGGGGGGGGGGTTCTCAAGGGTTGGTAAGTCTGAAGCTTGTGTAGCTTTCAACAAGGGGGGGGTGGGGTAGCCTTTCCTGGTTGGGGGTGTATCGTGTACATTGCAGTGTGTAACCCTCGGTCTCTCCCCCGGTCTCCCCCCCCCCCCCCAGGCCCACATGGTGGTTCTGTGCCTCCCGTACTCTCTGCTCATCAGTTCTTTTATATACGATGAAGTCCGCAAACTGATCATCAGACGCAGCCCTGGTGGTGAGTACCTCCCGTGTTCTGTGTATCCTCCCCGTGTGTGTGTCCCCGTGTGTGTGTGTGTCCCCGTCCGTTTGTTGGTGTGTGTGTGTCCCCGTCCGTGTGTGTGTCTTCCCCGTCCGTCCCCCCAGTGTGTGTGTGTCTTCCCCCCGTTGATTTGTCCTCCCCCAGTGTGTGTGTGTGTCTCCCCCCCCGTCCCTCCCCCCAGTGTGTGTGTGTCTCCCGTCCGTCCTCTCCCCCAGTGTGTGTGTGTCTCCGTCCGTCCCCCCCGTGTGTGTGTGTGTCTCCTCCCCCGTCCTCCCCGTGTGTGTGTGTGTGTCCCCCCGTCCGTCCCCCCCGTGTGTGTGTGTGTGTCCCTCCGTCCGTCCTCCCCGTGTGTGTGTGTGTTCTCCCCGTCCGTCCTCCCCGTGTGTGTGTGTGTGTCCCCGTCCGTCCTGTGTGTGTGTGTGTCTCCCCCCGTCCTCCCGTGTGTGTGTGTGTGTCTCCCCCCCGTCCGTCCCCGTGTGTGTGTGTGTCTCCGTGTGTCCTCCTCCCCGTGTGTGTGTGTGTGTCTCCCCCGTGTCCTCCCCGTTGTTGTGTGTGTGTGTCCTCCCCCCCGTTGTGTGTGTGTGTGTGTGTGTCCCCCCGGTCCGTGGGTGTGTGTGTGTGTGTGTTTGTGTCAGGTGTGTCCCTTCCCCGTGTGTGTGTGTGTGGTCTCCGTCCGTCCTCCCCGTGTGTGTTGTGTGTGTGTCTCCGTCCGTCCTGGTTGTGTGTGTGTCTTTGTCCTTGTGTGGGTGTGTGTGTCTCCGTCCGTCCTGTTGTTTTTGTGTGTGTGTCCGTCCGTAGGGTGTGTGGTGTTGTGTCTCCGTCCGTCCTCCCGTGTGTGTGTGTGTGTGTGGTCTCCGTCCGTCCTGGGGGTGTGTGTGTGGTGTGTCTCCGTCCGTCCTCCCCGTGTGTGTGTCTCTCCCGTCCGTCCTCCCCCGTGTGTGTGTGTGTGTCTCCGCCCCCGTCCTCCCCGTGTGTGTGTGTGTGTCTCCGTCCGTCCTCTCCCCAGTGTGTGTGTGTGTGTGTGTCCCGTCCGTCCCCCCCGTGTGTGTGTGTGTCTCCGTCCGTCCTTTTGTGTTGTGTGTGCTGTGTGTGTGTGTGTGTGTCTCCGTCCGTCCTCCCCGTGTGTGTGTGTGTGTGTGTCTCCCGTCCGTCCTCCCCGTGTGTGTGTGTCTCCGGTCCTCCCCGTGTGTGTGTCTCCGTCCGTCCTCCCCGTGTGTGTGTGTCTCCGTCCGTCCTCCCCGTGTGTGTGTGTGTGTCTCCGTCCGGTCCTCCCCGTGTGTGTGTGTGTGTGTGTCTCCGTCCGTCCTCCCCGTGTGTGTGTGTGTGTGTCTCCGTCCGTCCTCCCCTGTGTGTGTGTGTGTGTCCGTCCGTCCCTCCCGTGTGTGTGTGTGTGTGTCTCCGTCCGTCCTCCCCGTGTGTGTGTGTCTCCGTCCGTCCTCCCCCGTGTGTGTGTGTGTGTGTGTCTCCGTCCGTCCTCCCCGTGTGTGTGTGTGTGTCTCCGTCCGTCCTCCCCGTGTGTGTGTGTGTGTGTCTCCGTCCGTCCTCCCCGTGTGTGTGTGTGTGTGTCCGTCCGTCCTCCCCGTGTGTGTGTGTGTCTCCGTCCGTCCTCCCCGTGTGTGTGTGTGTGTGTTGTGTGTCCCTTGTACCACTCCCCTCCGTCCGTCCTCCCCGTGTGTGTGTGTGTGTGTGTGTGTGTGTGTGTGTGTGTGTGTGTGTGTGTGTGTGTCTCCGTCCGTCCTCCCGGGTTTGTGTGTGTGTGTGTGTCTCCCGTCCGTCCTCCCCGTGTGTGTCTCCGTCCCGTCCTCCCCCCACCTCTGCCCCCGGTCCTCCCCGCGTGTGTGTGTGTCTCCCCCCGGTCCTCCCCGCGTTTGTTGGTGTGTGTGTCCTCCCCGCGGTCTACCCCCGCGTGTAGTGTGTGTGTCCCCCCCCCGGTCCTCCCCGCGTGTGCGTGTCCGTCCCCCCCCCCCGGTCCTCCCCGCGTGTGCGTGTCCGTCTCCCCCCCTGTCCCTCCCCCCGCGTGTGCGTGTCTCCGTCTGTCTGTCCTCCCTCCCCGTGTCCTTCCTTGTGTATGTATCCTCCCCGTGTGTGTCCGTTCTCCATGTGTTTCAGTCCCCGCCTCTGCCTCCTCTAACCACGCCCCTTTCTCTCTTCCCGCAGGCTGGGTGGAGAAGGAGACATATTATTAGCCCCGCATCGTCCCGTCATTTCACACGATTCCTCCTCACCCTCTGGCCCCCGCCCTTCCGTCTGCCTGCACCCCTCCCCCCACTCGTTTGATCCTGCGTGCACCTGTCTGGCTCAGCCCTGTTCCCGATTGGACGACATGCATGGAGGGGCGTGGTCTGTGTGCGTCCCCGAGTTCTCATTGTGCCTTCTCTGCTTTAGTTTTGTAAGGGAGCACGACGTCCGATGTTTTATAAATATTCCCAGAAATATATATCTGCATTTTTACAAATAAAGTTTTCGGGTTTGAAGAGGTCATCAACGCCTGCTGTCTGCTTATTGGCGAGCCTTGTCTGGGGGGCGGGGCACTGGTGGTGGGGCTTCTGATGACTGGGTGTGGTCTGGGGGGGTGTATCCAGAGTAGGGGGTGGGGGTTAAATATTAAAGTGGGTGTGGCCATTGTCGGGTGTTCCGCTCCTAATGTAGACCTTCGGATGTCATGTGACTGGCATTGACTGAATGTCACCCTCCATGTCACATGACTTGGTCATCACCTGATTGGTGGTTCTGCAGTCTGTCCCGCTCCCCCCATCGTGATGCTGAAGCATCTGCCCATCTAGTGGTGGGGCTTTTGAAACCACT